CATATTCGCTAAACATACTTCTCATATTCCTTATGTTAGAGCTATTTGATTATTTTTTGACCGATAATCAAAGTCAATCCAAAAAGTTTTATATTGATAAAAATATTAAAAAAAAAAGAAAATTTATTTTTTTAAATAATAATTACAAAATATTCCTATGATATTCGATTGATTTATACCATTAGATACTCTCACCAAGATTTGTACTTATTGTAATTCTTCGGTTACTGTTATCATACGTCTACGATCTGATAAAATATTTGGTTCACTGTCTGAACGTTGTTTTGTATGATAACGACTTGATGTTGGAGAATCAATTTGAATGGGTATAGTTATTGAAATATCTGTTGTGGAATTTATTTGGGAATTTGTCAAAGTTTGCCGAAGATGACATAGACCATCGTAAACAGACATTAGTTTTTCTGTCAATTCAAGATCATCTTGACGTAACTGATTCTAGACAAAAAAAATATATATATTTAAATTAATATCCTATATAATTTCAATTAACAAAATCTCTATCATCTTTTTTTCTAAATTATCCTTGACAAAAATATTATGCTCTATTACTAATGTTAGGGAGATATCAGATCATAATCAATATTTAAGTAATAGACAAGTACAAGGACATTAAATTATTTTCTATGTTAGTAAACATACTCAATAACCGATCAAATCAGTTTTATACATACTCTTGTATTTGTTTATGTTTACTATATATATATATATATAGTTTTTCTTCGACAGAATTTATTACTTTCCCGAAGACCTCTTAGGGATAGACATTGAAGATCGACAGGAAAAAACATATATAAGCAAAACATCATCTGACCTAACTAAAACCGATTTCCTATCCCAAGGATGTTATATATAATAGAATGATTGTATAACACGTACTAGTTGTTGGGAGATTTGTTCGATCAATGATGATGTATTTGTATTACAATATTCTTGTGTTTGATGATGATCATCATCTTGTTGTATTACATCAGCCATTGTGTTTAGTAAGAAATAAATAGAAATTCCTGGTTTGTTCGTTCGTTAATATGATTGTTGTTATTATTGTTTTGTTCTTGATTGTCTCGTCGTATTACCGTCACCTCTCCATCTCATCTGGCTTTTATTCTGGCCTTAGTTGTCTCTAAAACCCCAATCGACACGTATATATTCAACAATACATTGACTCGTCTCCATGTATACTTACATACATATTCTCCTTTAGCGTCGCATTCTGTTTTTTTTCTTTGCTGTCTGAATCTGTTGTACATTTATCGTCGATGTGTAATATAAACTAGAAGAAGCAGAGAGAGAGAGAGAGAGCGAAGAGTACATCTGCTAGAAGTCATTTCTTTTTCCTCTTGATCGACCGAAGACAGAAAGAAATTACGAGCATGTGTTTGTTTGTATATTAATACAAACATTATAGTCTACGTTAGGATCTGTTTTCAAAATGAAAGATATTGATTTATATGTCAACCATCAATTATATATATATCCTTTTTGAAATTTGATACATATCATCGAAAGGATATGATTGGTTTATCTAAACCAAATAGATCTATATATCAAGTATTAAATATTTTATAAGAATATTACAGAATATACTTGAGTTTCATAAGGTATTTTAGAAAAGTACCAATAATAGTACTGCTGACTTAAATAAATATTTCTCATGTTTGTATTTGTTTAGCTGTCATAAGTGTTGTTCGAGCTTATTCAATTTTTGATTTAGTTGTTATAGCATTTATTTCATCATCAGTTGGATCATATGTTGAAATTTGAATCGTCATTGACGTTGAACAAAATCAGATTCATTTATCTGATATTCTTCAATTGATTTTGATGTAAGAAAATATTGTAGTATACGTCGGTTGTGAAATGAATTTCATATGCATATGGACGCCTATGGGTAGTATTTCAATGAATCTAACCATTTAGAAAAAAACGCTTATCTATATACTTAAATCAATTACATTATTATTGTTGAATTTGTTGGTAGGTTTACAGTTTTGTAACTTAGTTGCATATGAAAATGACAGGAATCTTTTGATAAATGATATTTTTGATACATTCCAGATAATTATTTCCTTTTTATTTTGAAAAAAACATTTTTAAGAAGAGTTTGATATTTAGGAAATTAAAAATAAATAAGTGAAATGATAAATATTTTTCCTTTCCTTAAAATGCATCTAAATATAACATACTTGTGACATGTGAATCATATATCAAAGACAATTATCAATATCATAAATAAGATTTTAATGACTATAGAATAAACTGATTACTCGATTCGATTCATTATGACAAAAGAAATTTTATTTAAATATTCAGATTGCTAAAATAAATATATTCCTTCACTTAATGATTGAATGACAGACTCCTGATATCAAAGAGTGCATTCAATTTACGTTATTTTATATTTGTATCCTTTTTAATCTTGAACGAAATCAAATAGAGAATTTCGCAAGACGATCGTTGTCGTCTGTGACGAAATATAATTACAAAGGAAAAACTTTTATTGTTGAACATATTTTATTGAAGGAAAAATAAATAAAATGTATGCGGGATTAATACTCAACAAATAACCATGTGCGGAATGAATACATTATTATAGGAATAATAATCAATCGAATTCTTCAAAACTTGTCTTCTAGAATAAATAATATGAAATCATCTTTTATATTATTATAATGAATTCTACTTTTTATTGACAGGTATAATTGGATGCATAGAAATTCATTGTTTTAATATCGCATGATGTATATTTTGGAGCATTTGGAGTAGCTGCACCAAAGGAATACGTCATAAGACATTGTTGAGCTGGAAATTTAGATGTGCTACATAGACATTCGTCTGGAATTGGTAATGATGTAGATGATGGACAAAATGGTAATCGTGGGCAATCTTCACATAAATATTGTAATTCATCTGGATGAACAACAGAAAGTGTATGTGCTAATTCATGTGCAACTAGGCCAGCATTTGACCATGGAGATGGTCGATAAGTTATGATCGAAGCACCTAAGAAAATATAATAATAGTATTTTATTTTCTCAATAAAAAAAGATTTACTCGAAGTTGTATTGGGTGGTCCTTGAGTATAACCGCGTGGAAGATATAACGAAGGTTTCTGTACTGAAAGTATTCCAACAGTATAAACTTTTCCAAATTGTTTGCTTTGTGTCTTAGCTAAATATTTTTGAAAACGTCTTAAGAGAACATCGATAGTTGCGTCAGCAGTAAATGATATTTGATCGCCATTTGACCACATTTCAACACCTGCATTGAGTACAATTATATTAGCATGAGCTGTATATTGTGATGCTAATGCTGCTAATTTATTTGCATATTCATTTCCAAGTTGTAAATTATTATTCAACGCATCGGATGAATCTTTATCAAACACAAAGAAACAAGCAAATCTTAAAAATAAATATACAATTAAATTTTAAATATTTAAACAAAAATAAAATGCGAACGTTCGTGGCACAGTAGCATCTGGTACAAGTGTAGGGTCAAAATTGAGTCTTCCCATAAGTTGAATTGTATCATGAACCTGTTGATCAGTAAGAGTACTAGCTCGTTTATTTCTATTATGATTTTCCAATAAAAATCAAAAAATATTTCATAGGTTTTTTAAAAAAAAATTCTTACCGGTTCAATGCAAAACCTTCTAGATGAATTGCAGTATAAAATATTAGAAAAAAAACGATCGTAATAATTCGAGTCATTAGTTTATTTCTTTAGAGACAGTATGTCTTCAATGTTTCAAACAATAATGAAAGCTAAACAATATTTTATAGGAACTTTTATTGAAAGTCACTCACTCCTTCTTTTTATTATTTTAATTCATCGACAAAGTTAATAGAGTATAAAATAATTTTATTATTGATCTGCATGTACCATATGCATGTTTTATCAAGTGAAACTCTTTTCAAATACAGAAAAGAGTGTTGCCTTCTTCTTTTTTTTTCTTTATTTCTAATTCTTAAAAAATTATTCTGATAGCATA